AATCACGTGTCTATCTCAGACATCGTGTATATAGACCTTTTCCTTTTGTCTATTTCTACTTTAATATGTTAAGCCACTTTTACCACACTCCGTATGCCCATTGCTGCGTGCCATAACTCGTGACAGTATGACCGCCACATTGACGAGCCTTAACGCCGCATTTGATAAAAAGGTAGCTATGAATGAGCTCATGTAAGAAGGTAGAGATGAGAAGTCGTCGGTTGTACTGCTTGTCCTTCAAGATTGGATTCGATAAGACAATAAGAGTCTCGAAGCCTCCCATTTTAGAGCGTCGCAGGGCTGTAGTGCCGATGATGTGGTCCTTGTACTGGGCGCTAGATGCATGGGACCAATCCCAAGTGACGCGCTGTGATAGACTGTTGTGAAAGAAGATCTCGTTTGCGGCGGAGAAAATGCTTTCCAGCGCATCATTATCGATGGAGAACTCGGCATGCCGAGATCGTGGTCGGATGAGTGATCTCAGGATTCGTTCATGCTGAGAATCCTTGGTACGACGTCGGCCAAGCTGCAACCGATTTTCGACAAGTCTAGCCGCAACATCGTCGTCGAGTAGCCTTAGATCGTCCTCGATGGCGGCGCTGTAAATGTCTGTATCGGACGAGATGGACAAGCCAGAGGCGGTGCGCTCCATTTGCGATGAGGTGACATCGGCTTCAGCCGGCTCGGGCGTTGGCGATGTTTGTTCTCGGATTACTAAAAAGGACAGGTTCTGAACGGGAATCGATCCCCGCGGTGGACAAACAGGATCCAAGTCGGACGTGAAATGTGATACACGGGCCCTTTTCTGGAAGGGCATGTCGTCGTGTGCGTACTCAGAGTTGCCGTCGTAGATGTCGCGCTCATGAGCGTGACCAATCCTCCTTTTGCCACCCACAACGTAGAGATCGGAATCGAGGACGTGGCCCTCACCTTGGGAAAGTGGCCTTGCCTCCCCGCCGACCACCCAAAACGCCATTGAACATTCTTGAGATATTGCAAAATGGAAGGAAAGGGCGAAAATGGTGGGAAAGGGCAAACTTCGGGAGGTCGGAGGTGTGATGAAGTGTGGCAGGCCGGGGGGGGCTCAAGGTGAAATACGGGCGACCACTGTTGGTATGGGTGTCATGTGCGCCGGAACCGCATTAAAGAGGCCGGTGGAGAAGGATGCCCGGCGCCGGCGGCTGGAGGTTGCGTACGGCAACTAACGAGGAATGGATAGCTCGGGAGGACCATGTAAAAGAAACGAAACAAAGGTTCAGTTTCGAGGCACGACGAAGTGAGGCGAGGGACTGGCACAGCAGGACGATTTCTGAGAGCCAGTCTGTTCTGCTGGACAGACATAGCTGCATGGAGAGACCCAGCTCAGGGCAGGACAGCGTTGCATGGCCCGTCTAGGCCCCCCTTGGCTTGCTCATCTGCAGAATCCCAACCAGCGGGACGAGGGCGACTCGAAGCAACCGAGAGGTTTGGGTGGACGGGAGCCGGGCAGCGGACACCGTCGTACGAGCGGTGTGAGGGAGCTAAGACGGATATGCGTGTGCGGCGTTGCGCATCGCAGATTTAGTGCGAGGTCCATCGCTGCCATCCCCCGACCGGTGCAAGGAACGTGGCGTTTCCAGGCGGGTTGGCGTTGGAACTCGACGAACCTACACAGTAAGCTCTGGGTACGGATAGACTTCCCAACCTTGTCCACCGCTGCTATTGCCCGCCTCAACTGTGAGATGGTGCTTGTCAGGCAAGACATTGATAGTGCGTGCATGCATATGATGATATAGCGGGCAGGGTAAGGTTATGCTGCTGTCTCGAGTTGTGTGCAGCAACAATACCTAAACAGACGGTCAGCTCGACCGCTTCCTCTTTCTCGTCCAGTCTCACCCACGGTGCAAGGTATGAGGGTGTGGAAGTGTATGCACACGGAGTATAGGTATTGCCCTCTGCGTGCGTGTATGTATCCGTAGCCGCCAAACAATGGGAATTGCAAGTCCGCCCCAAGTCGATGGTTCGCCGACTGCACACGGGATTGGAAGAAAGATCCCAGGTTGAGGCATGCGAGGGCGGTGGGGTTCGTGACAGGTGGGCGAAGCCATCGGGGGAGGAGGCGAAAAGTCGAGGACGAGGGAGCGGGTGTTCATCAAGATCTGGATTCGGCAAAGGGGCTGGAATTTTGCCGCCCATGATTGGTTCTGCAGCCTCGGTCTCAGTCGCTCATTGGTTGCCTCATCTCCGTGCATCTGTCCCTCCCACGTCGACTGTCGTCGCCTCCTTTTAATGAGGCTTTCCAACCCTCGGTTTTTCAAGAAATTGCCATCCACTGAAGCAACCGCCCAGCCGCTCCTTTGCTGTTTTGTTGCTGTCGCCGACTTGACAACTTGTCCATCATCCATGACGGCTCGGCGAGACCCACGGAACATCCTCCGATGCAAACCCAGTCGGAAGGCAAGGGAGACCGTGACCGGGAATCTGACTCCTGCACCTCGTCCAGTCGGGCCTGCGTACTGCATCCAGACAACACTCCTTGGCTGCGCCGCGCTGCGCTGCGATGCTATGCTATGCGATGTGTTTGCGATGCACCAAGGATTCCGACAAAATATTGTTGATGCATCAAGCAACAAAACAGCGACCACCCAGGAAACGAGGGTCCAGTTGATTGACAGCGGCATTTGCTGGTGCATACGTGACACTCGGGGACGAAACAATGCTTTTCGCCCTGTCTTCGTCAGGGATGTGTCCCGGTTATTGAATTCGGTGCCGATCTTTGCTGTCTCAGCCGGTGTTTTTCAGGATCTTGCTTGTTCGCCTCTCCATGTCCACCAAGCAAAAGTCCAAGTCCAACCGAAGAACGATGTAATCTCGCAATGCTGGCTTATGAGGCCCGCAACACATTGACTACTTGCGCCTGTCAATCTTGATTTTTCGGTCTTCTAGGCTCGGACGAGACGAGCACAGACTGTGGGCAGGTCGAACTCTATCTGCTTGACTCTTCTCTGCGGCTTCGACGAGACTCCATGGAACCTATATCCCGACTTCCCCTCTTGGTAGAAGTGGAGAAATTGGAGGTCTTCGTCACTTTGGGGGATGATGCTGTGATGCCGTCCCAAGAACATTAATAATTCGATGAGGGGGTGCGTTTCGTCTGCCGTCGATCGGTTGCGCACTAGCAGCTCGATTTCCACGATCAGCAGAAATCGCAACGTACACTCCTCCGCCAAGTTGAAGCCGATGGGACGCACGCTTCGACTGGACATCGTGAGTTGGACTCGGAAACCCCCAAAATGGTAGATGATGGACGGAGGAATACCAAGGTCTCGGGTGCTGCGTTGCCGATGCACTAGATGGTCCCTGAAGGCTGACAGACCCTGAAAATATTGAGGCGCTCAGCTCGTCGCAGATATCCTGGAATACCTTCATCAATGCCAAGGTGTATGAGCTGGTAGCAGTGGATTCGGCCCAGACATGCCGACACACGGATGATAGAAGAAGGAATCAAAGCAATGGCCATCTGGAGGCTGGCTTGCCTTGTCAGAAGGAGGAAGTCCAACAGGGTCCATTGACAGGGGGTTCATCATGAGGTGCCTGGGCACTGTCTTATCGCTTATCTTTATCACCTATCACCGATTTTAGAACTAACGGTTTTGGGTCTAGGCCATCGGAAAATAAGTGGATCTGCGAACGATTCGGTCGTGCCTGCTTCATCTAACGACATCTCGTTCCTTCCTTACAGCATAAGAGTCCGCGTGCTTCACGTTGCCCGCACAACAGATGCTCGCACACTCGCCATCAAACCTCCCACATATCTTTTTTCGCTTCTCTGTCTGAATCTCTATTGAACTCCGTGGCTTCTGTCTATTTACGGTAGTCAAGCAAATGACTGGATAGCAGCACACGGTACATTTCTTTCTTGGAATTTTGTCCTCTCCATATGGGTACTTGTGAGTAGCCTGGCATCTACAAAATTGTTCAGATATAACATCCCTCTCGCCATATTTTTAAGCCAGAATATATGCGGCATTCATGTTCAAATGTCGTTTTTCCTTCCTCGATACCGTTCACACGCTGGTGGTTCAACTATCGGATAGTAGATACACTCGAGACCGTTTGTTACCCATGTTCGTGATGTGGACTCAACATTCTCATGAATTCTGAGTTCTCGGAATCCTCATCGTCATGCTAATGTTGCTCCTGGCTGAAAACGTAAGTACAAAATGGATCCGCGTAAACGATGTAGTAAACCTCGAGACCAACTTGTATGGGACCATGGGATGTACTATGCTGAACGGATGATAACCTGAAATATCTTATTGCCAATGCCAAATTATGAAAATTCAAAGCCTTGTCTTGAGGTTTGGGGAAGGAAAAAGATAAAGCATCCTCGTCGCCTGATTGCCTCTAAGGGCAGTTTACAGCTGAGAGGTGTAGGGACCCACATCCATTCTACACCTTGGGCTTTGTTGATATCTCGAGTTTGGCATCACGTCTGCCCAGCTGAACGGATTTTTGTTTTTTTTCTTAGAAAACAGAATCGCACCGCATTGAAAAATTCTTCCTCATTTCCCACTTCGCAGGAAGTCACGCTGCTGGATTTCTCTCTCACACAGCAGCAGCTATTTCACTAGCTTGCCTTGAATCCTTCTCCTCTCCCGTCTCCTTCTAACCCTTCTCATTGCACGATATCCATCTCACATGCAACCTTCTCGCATTCCTCACTCTTCTTTCTTGATACCAATCACTTTTGTCAATGAGCTACCCTTTTGTCTGCTTCTTGCAAAATTCCTCACCCTTCTCCCCCAGGAAATGCGCCTTTCTGGAATTATTCCAGAGATACTCATAACTATCCTCACCTTCACCTTGCTTATCCAACTTACTGAGCTTTTCAAGCATTCACTTGAGGACTTCCAAGATTTCAAGCACAAGCAACTTTTTCAGTACGTCAAAGGTCTCGGGGCGCGAGACAGTCAAGCAATCTACGGACTCGCCAGAGCACTTCTACATTGGGAGCGTCATTGAAACAATTCGCCCTAGGTATCAAGTTTGTACCGCCAGTTCGGCATACTCACGTCGCTTCACCTTGACCTTTGGGAAAAGTTGACATTCCATCACTTGTCCAACGACTATTTTTGACCGCTTTCCTTCTCCCTGTCTAGGCTTGAGTTTCCTGCGATACCACAGACGACAACAGAGGTTACTCGCGAATCGAATACTCTCGAACAGCAGCGATAACTGCCCTGCCTCATCGGCGATCTCTTTTGGAAGCACGATTCTACTGTTTCATCCCACTTCTTTCATCCTTGCCCAGAGACAATCCATCTCTTTCAGCAGAAAGCAGATCTCACGTCGCAAAAGATGTCTGACAATCAAGGGATCAAAGAGGTGAGATATCTTTGTCGCTCATTAATTTTAACATTGAGGGTATCATACTAACCTTGTCTAGCGACCTTCCAAGCGGTCTCTCACCCCGAACAAGGCCCTTTATGCTTCGTTCAATGAAGCTCATCGACACATTGCTCCTCCAACTCCCAAGATCCCCATTGAGTTCGATGGACAGCTAGGCAATGGAGAGCAGCTCACGGAGGAGCAAGTCGAAGACATTTTAAGTGCCTCGAACAATTCCTCTAGCCAGTTCCAAGACTCTAAGGGTCAGAAGGAGCCGAAGAGCCTCGAGCTACTTGCCGAGCCGAATGCATCTAGCCACCAGAGCAAGGTCGATAAGCAAACTTCGCCTTCTACTGTCGTGTCTCAAACTCAGACGACAGACCATGGTCCTCAAAGATCTTCCTCTCCATACCTGTCGGATGAAGAGAACGCCTTCATTGATTATTCGAATTTGTCCTTACATGAGTTCAAGGAGCAGCATGACCGACAAGATTCCATCGATGATCCTTTCGACAGCCAGCATGCCGCCACTGAGTACCCAGATGCCTCCTCATTCTACCCAGAGGATGGTGATGACTACAGTCTAGCTTCCATTGACCACGGTTC